TTAGAAATGCAGCTGGATTGATAGATGAATAGATAGATAGATTTATAGATAAATAGATAGATCACCAGGAAGATTAAAAGAAAGATAGATAGATAGATAGATAGATAGATAGATAGTTTATCGAACGAAAATATTATTGTCTTTCGATTTACCCTAGCTTTCAGTGTGCGAACTTTGTCAGCACTTCAGACAACAGTCTTGCCAGTACCCTTTCAGCAGCCATTTTTTGTCTATATAGCGTATAGTAATTTGCGGAATGTCCGGGTAGCGTGTCCGGATAGCGATGGACGTCCACTTAGTGCTACAGGAGATACGGAAAATGTCCAGATATCGTTATGGTTTGGACGTACAAACACCCAGACAAACAAAGTATATATATAGAAAAAAGCGCAAAGACGACAGTCATTATGATTCCTATATACTAGCCTGGGAACCAGCTTGTCCAGGATAATACTGCCGTTTACCCTTACTTAGACGATTTAACCGGAAAAGGAAATGTTCGCTATTTAGTCGATCCACGCAACTTAGACTCTCAAAACTAGACTAAGAACATTTTCCGTGATTCCCCGGGCCCCAAGGTACACAATCAAATTTGAGGCAAATTGGTCACGGGGTTCCTGAGTTATGATCGGACAAACAAACAAACAAGTCAGATATTACAACTTTATATATGTAAATAGATGTATTGTTTAGAGTATGAAAAACTACTGTGCCAGTTTAGCTCATAAAACCAACCACAGTTTCCTGCCTAACTGTGAATTCTCTGAAATTTTTCACCCCAGGTATGTAGTTATTGGCTGTACAGGTACGTATCTATATCTATCTATATTTAAATGTACAAATACTATGGATTCAGGGCGCTTCGTGCCTCTCTTCCGTTTAAAAATTTAAGTGTTTAAATGTTGCTTTTTAAGTCGCTATTTTTTTCGAACTTTTCTCTTATTTTTCTATTAATCTTGATGGCTTTTTAAGACTAAAAAAATTGACTTTTATTCAGAATTGACAATTTTTTTTTTTGTAAAATTTAATTTGAGTTGCAACATAGGGATAGGGCCCGATCGGTTCAGCCGTTTTGCCGTTTTTTTGAATACAAAAAAACAGAGACAAAATATTTAAACACTGTGCAGTTAGGGTATTAGTAACTGAGGAAACAATTTTCGTTCAATTTTAACAATCAAGGTGTCATTAGAAAGCTCTGTATTTCAGTTATTTCATGATGTACATTTTTCCTTCTTGGCCTTAAACTTTTTTGTTGCAACCAATTATTTGAGCATAAGTCAAAAATCGATTTAACGTATTTTTAAAATTTTTGATTTTTCACGTCTCAATTTCATTCGTTCATAAAGTATGAACAAATTTAAAGATTTTCGGATTTTTGTATGCAAGTCAGTCTTAGATTTCATTTTTAAGTAAATTTTCGGATCAGCGATCATAACTTTGGGAGCTAGAGCAATCTGAAAATAAAATATGTATTAAAAAATTAAAAGAAAGCTACGGGTACCTCCGTAAGAACCTGTCCCAGACCACAATAATAATTCTTTTTAAATTTTCTTTTTGAAATCAGTTGGCACAATCCACAGCTCGCTTTTTCCACCAAATCTAAACCACCTAGATACAAAAATAAAATTTTTTTGTGAATCTGAAATTACAAAAAAAAAATCTTTAAAAAAATCATCACTTTGTTATTAGTCTATTTTTATGATAGGTTTATGATAAGCCTAGTTAAATAGACCAACAATTTTGTAAGTTTTTTTATGGGGACTTCTAAGGGACTGTTCACGCATAAAAGAACATTGATTGTAAAAATTGAACGAAAATTGTTTCCTCAGTAACCCCTACTGCATAGTTTTTTCAGGGAGACCCTGTATATTTATATAAAAGCTGGGTTTTTTTTGTAGAAATAGGCATCCTCTTTTTTAACGAACGAAATTATTTAGAACGAACAAAGATTTTTCTTGAATGAGAGTGTTGTTCCGAAAAAAACGAACGATGGACGAATGAATTGTATCGTTCAGAAAAATGAAAAACGATAGTTTTCTTAAAATTGTTCGAATGAATTTGAAAAGCTATCGTTTCTTTACTGAACGACAACTTTTTCAAAAGATTTTGACAAAAACAATCGTTTTTTACTGAACAAACCATTTTTTGGAAAACAATTTTTTAAAAACGATCGGGTTTGTACTGATACGCAATACGACAAAATTTTAAAAAGCTTTAGTTTTTTTACTAAATATTTTGTATCTTGGAAATGCCATCAAGAAAAAACTGCAAAATCTTTTCATTATTGCTTTAAAATGTGCAGATCAAATCAGTATAACTACAAATAGAAAATGTTTGCGGAAACATTTCCAAACGCACAGGTTTGCAAGAAAGAAAGACGCACAGCGCTCTGCATGGAAACCTAAAAGATACAAGCAGCAGATATTTGAAGCGTAAAAGTTGTGAAATTTCTGCAGAAAACTCCCTTTTTAATTAAATATTAATTTAATATTTACAAAGAATTAGCATTAAATTACCCTTGTTCAATTGAGTTTTTCAAAAGAAAAGTAATATGAAAAAAAATTAATAATTAATACTTCTCCAAAAAAAACCGATTTCTTAATCATTTGAAAGAGGGAATTTTTTATCTTTACATTGTTAAGAACATGAACTTTCATTAAAACGGTATCATGCAAACCTTAATCTGGTCAATTATGTGGAGTATATCGTTGTTTCTCTAGCTTAAAAAGCGCTTAATTCTGATTGTTTATTTCTCCATTGTTTCAATTGCGCAAGTCACTTATGTAGGGAAACAACAATTTAAAAAAATAGTTTTTAAAAAGAGAAACATTTAAATATAATTCATACTTGATCAGACCAAGCTTTGAAGGATGCGGGTTATGAAACATATTTTCCACTTTATATATGGCACGGTCAGGCGTAGTACATTTAAATTTCCGATCAGGGTCAACCTTTCCGGTACCAGTTTGTACTGCACCGCACGGACATTGGGTTAATAAAGAAGACAATCAACAGGACTAGCCGTTGCAACAAGGTTGACGAGGGCAGACTTTTTGCTCCAGTCAATTTACGTAATTATCGTTTTATTAATTGGTGCAATAACTGTGTTTTAAAAATCATGAACAATCCCTTCAGGCTGAAAGCCCATGACTTTATCCAGTCATGCAACGTGCATCTGCAAGGAAATGTGCATTACCTGCAGTTAAACTATTTGTTGCTAAATCATCTATTTTTAACCTTCGCAGTTCAGAAAACAGGTTAAATAAAAATTAAAATGTTTAAAAATAATCTTTCAACGGACACAAATCTACAATATATATATTTCTAATTGGAAAATTTAATAATTTATAATTTTAAAAACTACTTCTTTCTGTTCATAAAATCTGAGCATGGTTCTTTATTTTTGTTACGTTGAGGACTATTTATAAAATTCTCTTTTTCATGATTGAGAATATCATTGAATACAAAATGTCCGCTATAATTTAGCACCCCCTTTCTTTTATGTACGATACAGGATTACCCAAACATAAGATATGGCATCTCTACAGAATTAATTCAATTTTATTTATTTTTTTCTAATTATTACCATGCACACTGTATTTTAGGCAAAGATAAGTTTACGCTTCAGATTATTATAATTGTTCAAAGTCGTCTTTAAAGTCTCATCCTTTTCTTGGTGGATGACCTTGTGGCCAAGAGCCTATAAATCGTCCCATCCGTACTTTTTGCAAACATATGACGTTTCTGACTGTTGCCGTTCGAAGTATGGTGAAACACGACCCCTCTCGGCAAAAGCAAATAGAAAGCATAGTAAAATTAGATACTGTGCTCACACCTATACTTTGGGTGACATCTGGCGGACAGACATGCAAATTACGTCTTAAATACTCTCGTTAACTTGGGACGATTCTTGCTCAGTACAGTGTACAGTGTACACTGTACAGATTATAGTGAACGTCATAAATTGGAGGATTTTTTCTGATTGTTTATAGATCATGCACAGACTACTTTTCAGTTTCTCAGACATTTCTTTTTCAGATGGGGGTTCACTCCGTGTTTGGTGACACGTCAGGACGTTGCCAGGTTTGTTTTCATTTTGTTTCTTGATGATTTGTTAATTTGATTGAACAAAAGACGCTCCTAATAGTAAAGATAGCCCATCAGAAATTTATCCGACTATTGCATACTCACAGCACAGCTTCTTTTGACGTCATTGGTTATTTTGGTTGCTTAAAGAATCAACATAAAAAATAAAGACACCAGTTAATTAAAGGGAGTGACCGGCAATGTATGGTAGTTGAACTGAAAATGTAGTATTATGGAAAAATTTATTAGGAATCATTTGATACATTAAAACGTTTCCATGATGTATAATTACTAGGTTTGAACACAAAGTCGACGTTCAAAATCATCAATCTGGGTGGGTACCATAGATAAATAAATAAACATAGATAGCTTATGTACACAAAATCACCAAGAATTGCGGGGTGGTATGGTGTTTTAATGGATTTCATAATAGAGTGTAAAATAACTCCGGGAATGGAACTATTTGAACAACAATATTTCACTGAGCAATATATCATATTGACGAAAACGGAAGAAGGACATGAGACGGATTCAACTAACTTAAATTTATCTCTACAGAACTCATGTACACCACAAGTACATAATGACATAAGAACAGCCAATGTTCACAACCGACCTAGTTAATCTATATAATAGGAATATCTTTAAAACATCTCTGTACATTTATATCTTTCAAGATGAAAAATGTCGTCTTATGCGCAATCTATCTTTATCTATGGTGGGTACGTTTTGAGAATCGATTTTTTGAAAATTATAAAATAAAGACGACAAAAAATGTAACCAAAAATTCTACAGTAAACTAATTAGATAGTTAGGAATATAAATCTTATTAGAAATTTGTCAATAAATCAATGTTAGAATTCATAATTTCGTTTTCAACATTATATTTAATTTATCATTCTTTACGAATTAGTTCGCAGATTTCTACAAATTCTTCAAACGTTGTCTTTCAATGAAGATTAGAGAAAATCTAAAGAAAATGTTTGTGAATAATGAGAGATTACAGAAACTAATATCTGAATAAGATTACTTATGTTCGAAAATAAGAGTTAATTTTTATTTTCTCAACCTGTTCCTAAACATCTAATTAGTTTAATGTAAAATTTTGTTACATAAATTTTTGTCGTCTTTATTTAATAATTAAAAAAAAGATTGTAAACCGTAACCACCAAAATTGATGATTTTTAACGTCGACTTTGTGCTCAAACTCAGTAATTATATGATGAAGAAACATTTTATATGTCTCTAATGATTCCTAAAAAAATGTCCCACAATACTTCATTCTTAGTTCAACTACCATATATTGCCGGTCACTCCCTTAATAACACAATTGTGAATTAAGTGCTAATAGTGTATTGCACTGGAACTATTAGAACTATCTTTGGATGAAACCAAGTGATTAAAAAATGCATGAATATTGTATTTGAGTTTTACATGAATTTTTCAACCCTTATTTTATTAATATTTTTAAACCACCATTTTTTTATTTGCAATGAAAGTTTCTGTTGCATTCTTCTTCTGAAATTTCTATCTTTTTTTCGTAATTAAATTTTATGGATTGTAAAATATTACTATAATAGCATAATAAAACTTATTAGATGTGAATCAATCTAATGATTTGGTCTTTTGCTCTTAATATTTTGTCTTCTAAAGCTGCGTTAATTAAAGATACAGAAATGTATAAATGTAACATACAATAGGATGTTCTCTATACTCTAAAGTCTCATAATTTTGTTGATAGCCCTGTACACAGTACCAGTACAGTGTACACAGAACCAGTGTACGTTAAACTACAGCGGTAAGCGAATATATCAATACAATGAAGACGACTTTAGATTTCAATTTTGATTTATATCAAGCTGTTAAACAGCATGGATGCACAATAACACTTAAACATAGAAGACAAGAGAAGTTGCCATTAACAAAAGCTTCTCTTCGTTTTGTAAACTTGTAATTTAAAAAAAAAGGTTGCCATGAGTTCTGACAAACTATATTTATTTATTTAAAAACAGTGAAATTCTTGTCTCGTCTTTTTCATTTTTAATCATAAAATGTCGCGGAGTTATTTGCAATTTGTAACTAAATTGTAACTAAATTTGCAAATTACAATAATTTTTTTGACAATTATGCAGTAATCGGAAGAGCAAAGACGACAATCTGGTTTTCCCTGTACAGTACATATTTAGAGACGAGGAGCTGCTTGTTATGTACGGATATGACCTAGATTACTGCCCTGAATGGTATAAAGATGCTTGGGAAAATAGTAAGTTTAGTTTCGATAATATTTAAAAAATATATTTTTAAACGTACCCTCATCGAAAAAGTTCTTTGAATTCAAGAATGTAATGCTAGGAAAGTTAATTGCAGTTGCGTATACTCTGCGTACATATTGAAACCAGTTCTCTTTGGGCGGAATTTGTAAACAAAAATAGATGCATCAGTGTTCGTTTAGTATCCGAGGAGTTTAAAAGCATTTAATTTTGATAATTTTGATAATTCACATAATAGTTTCCTATGACCAGAATATTTCATTGATTATTTATGTGAAAGATGGATCCCATGCCAGGCTTTGACATCCGTCTTGTGTTTACATTACCGCCCAGAGACAGTACACTGAAGTACAAAAGATGCGTAAACCTCTGAAATAACTTTCCTTGCATTAAATCCTTGTTTGAATTTGAATACAAATGTACCCTTGAAGGATAACAGAAAGCTTAATCAGATCAAGACACGTTGTAATTGTTGCACGCCTTCTTATTTTTAAGGAATATTAATATTTACTTTCTAAAAGGGGCAGAATATAAATATTCACATTCAAATTTCTTAACCCTGCAACGGACATTAGTCTAGATTTTTTTGGGAATAGAATGTAACGTCATCCGTGTTAAGTTCATACGATAAGCTAGAGTAAACTCTAATTTTACAGCTTTTTACAGAGCATTTAAGAGATATATATGCACAGAGTCCTAGTTGTCCTCGATGACCTGTAAAGGTTTAAAACGATAGATCGTTGTAAATCGGGGATGTCCCTTTTTAAATATAAGGTCTCTTAAAATTACGCTCACAGTCCCTTTAAAACATCATTGTAAATAATAAGTTTATAAAGTAACTATACCATAATTACAGGTTGTTCTGGCTTTGAGACCGACAAGCTTAAATCTGGATAAAGTTCAGAATTCAGAAAAAAAGCCTAAAAGATAACTTTAATTAGATTATTCATAAAATATCTGTAAACATTCCAATTACGCAATAAATAATTGCCATTTATGCATATTTTAGTGAAAGTTAGAGATAATGTAATTTTAATATTTTTTATTAAATATTTAATATTTTAATTACGCAATAATTAAATAATTGACATTGATGTATATTTAAGTGAAAGTTAGAGAATTATTTTATTTTAATATTTTTTATTTAATATTTAATATTTTAATGCATATCATTTTTTACTGAAACCTCGCCCTTGTTTTATCTCCCTATCGCTCTGTTTGTAATTATTGTAGTTGTTAGATATTTATATTATAATCTCTCTGCTTCCTGCTTCTGGAGCCCACACCTGTGACGTCACTTGATGACCATAAATAGATAAGTATAGGTTCAGCCACCGCCTTTCCGCCCGTTCAGCTCTCTACATTCAACAGCTGATATCTCGCGCACTGCACTGCTACGGTAAATCAGCTGCCTTGGCCAATTCCGCGCCGGTGTTTCATTGGAAAGTCGTATTACGCCATCCCCCCCCCCTCCCTGAACATTTTTTGCCCTTACCCAAAAATAAATTAAAATCAAGTTTACTATTTTATGTTATCTAAAAAATTATTCCAAAAGTTTTATTAACATTTAATTTTTTATCTGCAAAAAGCACACCCCAAGGAATTTTAACGCTGTCTACTTTCAGTGTGGTTTTAACTTTTGACCATTATACTAGTTACTAGAAAGTGTGATTTATAAATAGTTACAGTTAAAAAGTTTAAAGTTAAAAAGTCAGTTTTAGTTAATTGCTGTCAGTCAACTTGGATCCAAAAAGTGTTTAGTTCTTTTCTCAGGTTAGTTTAAACACTTTAAACCAGTAATATTTAACATTTTAAGGGATCTCTTCTCAGTTTAGTTTAAACACTTTAAACCCTTAATATTTTATATTTGAGTTTAAAAAAAATTAATTTTGAATTTGAAAGGTTTGGTGGGAATGTGTATGGAATTAAACCACCTTATCATTAAAACAAGGACAAGAAAATTTATCTGATTTTCATGTTTAAATTCTGGAATATCAAGAAAAAAGCGGAGAATATAATAATTGTGTACATTGCTCATGTACGCTAATAGACTACTCTTATCTATTAAGGTCATAGTGTACTTAAACTTAGGTTGGATTTGTGTTATGTATTGCAAGGAGAATTGAATACAAGGAGGGGTTTCCGTACACTTTGCTGTGACGTATTTGGGCTGCTGGAAAACTAGTTTTTGCGTAACAACAATAATAAAGGCAGCCGATCTAATGTAAACAAACATGAGTTAGTATACGGTGAATCTTCATCTAACGCAGAGATGCACCAATGTCTGTTTATCATTTGTGTTATTGTTTACAATCTTTATTATTGTTGTTACGCAAAAACTAGTTCTCCAGCAGCCCAAAAACGTGACAGCAAAGTGTACGGAAACCCTATTGCCCCCTCCTTGTATTCAATTCTCCTTGATGTATTGTATATTTACATCTGTATATATAACGTTTGTCCGATCATAACTCAGGAACCCCTGGACCGATTTGCCTTACATTTTGATTGGTATACTCAGGAGGCCCACGGACATGTTTCCCGGTAAAATCGTTCAAATGCGGGTAAACGGCGGGAGTAACTTTTAGTAACCTTGACAGAGCTGGGTTCCCAAGCTAGTATGAAAATATTTTGTAATAAAAAAATTTAATCATTAAGGGGTTTCCGAAAATGTTATATGAATACACCCTTAAATTTAATTCACATATTTTTTCGCGCTTATTTTATGTTTTATCATTTATGGGGGTTTTGATCTAAAAAACAAGTATGTCAGCTCAAGTTGCAGCTCAGCCCCTTTTCATGCTCAAGTTGCTTAATGCATATAGCTTGATCCTTATATAACTTAATCCATAAACCTGTTCTGATTTTACTTCTAACAAGATTAAATTAAGTTCTTGAAAGGTACAGTGTGTCCCAATAAACATGGAATTGAGGGACGACTTGAATATCGTCTTTGATTTCCGATAATTGATAAATGACATAAAGTGCTTAACAAAAATTTAACGTCTAATGAACTTTCCCAAATGTGGTCTACCTTCTTTGTATTCCTAAAATTGACGGAGACATTAAACATTTTAACAGTTTTGTGAATTGCCTGATATCTCGTCTACGACTCTATAACAGTCTTTGTAAATTGCCTCTATAGTAAAAAAATTTAAATGTCTTGAAATGAAATTTAATTTTGAATTAGCAATTTTTGGTAAAATCATTAAGCAACGTTTCTAAAATCTAACTAGTAACTATCAAGGTTTAATTCATAACTTTTTAATCATTCAAAACACAAATTTTCCTTTTAATTCATACTTGTTTTTTAACTGTTAAGTTTGCATGAACTGAAAGCGATCGGGGTTTGCCCAGACGAGAAACGGGTGAAGTCTAGATGGTATTAATTTGGTTAAAGGGACTGTAAGCGTAATTTCAAGTGACCCTCCATGTGAAGGTGGCAATGCCCGATTTACAACGGTACTCCTAAAAGCTTTGTTAGATTAATTTTGAATTAGATATTCATGAATGTTTCATTTGTGGTTTCTCTGCAAGCAAGAAGGACTTGCGCATTTCTTGCTCATAAGAAACAATGGAGAAATTTACACAAAAAACTTCTCTTCCACATTTTTAATCAGATAACGGTTACCGTTGGTACCGCTGTAAATAGGAAATTTCTTTCTATGCATGGATAGTTGTAGTACACACCTACTGAATAACAAGTTTCTCGAAACGTATCTATCCAGGTACAATCCGCCCGATATCAAACTCAACCAAGACTAAATCCCAGGGACACAAGCGTAGCTATCAAACAAGCTACATATCGATCCCAAATGATGGGGAAGATCCAACGCTCATAATGCCACACAGGAACACAAGCCTAGCTATACAACAAGCTATTTATCGATCCCAAATGATGGGGACGATACCGGTTTATAAAAACAGGGTTTCAGGTTTACTCTCTCGCAAGTAAACAGCACGGAGTTATTCTAAAAACTGAGGTGTATTTCTTAGTTCAAATTAGAATTGGGTCATTAAGAGCGTAATGACAAGTTATGCGCTGTTATGTATATAACGTAGTTAAACAGTCACAATATGGGTATGACGGAGTTATGTATCTATCTACGTACATGGAATGGGTTAATCGCAATACAGGATTTGCGCAATATTTAGAACAAGTTAGCTCATAATTAAATTAATTAAATTAATTCTAATTCATAAAGACTTTTCCAGCATATTAATGGGTGTAAATCCATTCTTGATGTTTCTAGTAGACTTGATATCCACAATAATCAAAGGGTGTAAATCCATTCCTGAGGTTTCTAATAGACTTGACATCCACAATAATCAAAGGTTGTAAATCAATTCCTGATGTTTCTAATAGACTTGACATCCACACAAATCAAAGGGTGTAAATCCATTCCTGATGTTTCTAATAGACTTGACATCCACACTAATCAAAGGTTGTAAATCCATTCCTGATGTTTCTAGTAGACTTGACATCCACATTAATCAAAGGGCATACACCCATTCTCGATGTTTCTAGTAGACTTGACATCCACACTAATAAATGGGCATACACCCATTCTCGATGTTTCTAGTAGACTTGACATCCACACTAATCAAAGGATGTAAATTCATTCCTGATGTTTCTAATAGACTTGATATCCACAATAATCAAAGGATGTAAATACATTCTTGATGTTTCTAATAGACTTGACATCCACAATAATCAAAGGGTGTAAATCCATTCCTGATGTTTCACAATAATCAAAGGGTGTAAATCCATTCTTGATGTTTCTAGTAGACTTGATATCCACAATAATCAAAGGATGTAAATCCATTCCTGATGTTTCTAATAGACTTGACATCCACACAAATCAAAGGATGTAAATCCATTCTTGATGTTTCTAAGACTTGACATCCACAATAATCAAAGGGTGTAAATCCATTCCTGATGTTTCTAATAGACTTGATATCCACAATAATCAAAGGGTGTAAATCCATTCTTGATGTTTCTAATAGACTTGATATCCACAATAATCAAAGGATGTAAATCCATTCCTGATGTTTCTAATAGACTTGACATCCACATTAATCAAAGGGTGTAAATCCATTCCTGATGTTTCTAATAGACTTGATACCCACAATAATCAAATGGTGTAAATCCATTCTTGATGTTTCTAATAGACTTGATATCCACAATAATCAAAGGGTGTAAATCCATTCCTGATGTTTCTAATAGACTTGACATCCACATTAATCAAAGGGTGTAAATACATTCTTGATATTTCTAGTAGACTTGATATCCACAATAATCAAAAGGCATAAAACCCATTCCTGATGTTTCTAATAGACTTGACATCCACACTAATCAAAGGGTGTAAATCCATTCCTGATGTTTCTAATAGACTTGATATCCACAATAATCAAAGGATGTAAATCCATTCTTGATGTTTCTAATAGACTTGACATCCACAATAATCAAAGGGCATAAACCCATTCCTGATGTTTCTAGTAGACTTGACATCCACAATAATCAAAGGGCATACACCCATTCTTGATATTTCTAGTAGACTTAACATCCACACTAATCAACGGGTGTAAATCCATTCCTGATGTTTCTAATAAACTTGATATCCACAATAATCAAAGGGTGTAAATCCATTCTTGATGTTTCTAATAGACTTGACATCCACACTAATCAAAGGGGATAAACCCATTATCGATGTTGCAGGCAGACTTGACATCCACATTTCGCACTCATCAAAGGCCCTAATCCTATTCTGTTTCTAGTAGACTTTTAACATCTACAATAATCAAAAGGGTGTAAAACCATTCTCGATGTTTCTAGTAGACTTGACATCCACAATAATCAAAGGTTGTAAACCATTACAATAGGCCTAAATATTTGGTACATTGTTACTTTAAATTACGCTCACAGTCCATGGTAAAGCGGAATATTGAATATAAATAATCAAATCGACATAAGATTAATATGAATCGGTATGGGAATTG